CCCCCCGCCTGGCCCCCCTCTTTTCCCCTTGGCAGCCCCCCGCTGGCCGCTCAAGACCTGCGCCAGGCCCCCCACATCCCGAAGAGCCACGTCTCTGCTCACCCGGAGAAAGGACCGGGAAGGGGGCTGAGCCCACAGGCCATGCCGGGGCGGTCCCCCCGCCAGCCGCCCAGAGCCGGCCCCGGTCCCCTCCCACCCCCCGGCCGGGCCCGTTCTCGGAACCAGAGGCAGCACCAACCTCGGGGAGGTGGCCGTGGCCCCCGGCCTTCGCACAGCCTCTTTGTGGACCAGCCTGGGCTCCGTCGCCCCGCCGAACCCGACATTTGGCTGCTGCACCGGAGCAGCCCCCTTCAGTTCCACGCTAGGGGGCAGAGGGCCCAGGCCGAGGCCCCCCAGTGGAACCTCTACTCCCCCGGCACCGAGACCTTCCACTGCGAGGGGGAAAGCAGGCAGTTCAAAGCGTGCAGGCAGGAGGTGAGCGCGTGGCGGGGACGGGGTGGAGGTGCCCCGGCGCAGACCCTCGCTGCTTTGTCTGAGAAAAGCTTCACGGGAACCGATCGGCGGACTGTGCAGACGTTACCATTTCAGGAAAAAAGTAAAGTCCGTTTAGAAGTTGGGTGGAAGAAGACCTCTTTGTGAGAGAGGTGGCCCTGAGGACTAGAAGCATGAGGGTTGGGGTCCTTCTTTCCAAATTCTCCAAACGAGATAGCCAGCTGTGTTGGACCTAAAGAGAGAATTTCCGCTGCATTCACTCGCTCGGTTTTCTTTTTGCCCCCTACGATTAAACAAACTGAGTTAGTGGCTTTGCGAAGCTTCCTTTGCTCCACGACTGTAAATAAACGGAAATGGAAGCAGAAACACTTCTTTAACGCGTGCATTTGCACGCACCCTGGGAAGCTGCTCCTCTTCCAAGGGGCCCTTGGGCCCTCGAGGAAAAGGCTCGGGGCCAGCGGTTCGGCACTACAGAAGGGGTGAAAGGTCAGCGGCCCTTTGTGGTGGACGCCAGAGCCGTCCTCCACAGAACTGTCCTGCTCCTTCGGGGGATTAATCTCCCGAGCGCCCGGTGTTCTTCACAACAGAGTTGCCGTGTTTTCACAGCCGACCCGACCCGATGCCAAGTTCCAGATGAACTTCCCCAAACGGTTGGGGATAAATAGCCGGGCTTGGCTTTTGTACCGGGCAGGGTTGGCGAAACGCGCAAAAGTCCTTTCTAAATTGGCGTCGGTCAGTTTCCCTTCCCGGCCAGACGCCCTCAGGCCTTACAGGGCTGTGGGGGCAACTAAAGGGGGGTCCTGCCTCAGGGGCCGGGCA